TAAGCTTCAGACAGCTGCTGCTGACACTTTTCAAAATAGGGGTTGGGGTTGGGGTTGCCCAGCCGGAGCTTAAACAACAATTTCTATATACATACATATATATTTTTGCGTCGTTCACTTTTGAGTTCATATACCTTGAGAACCGAACCATCTTGTTATTGAATCAAAATCAAAATCATAAAAAAAGAAAACAAAAACATTTGAAGCGCTTTTGCGTGCGATGCAAATGTACAAAACTCAATAAACTGGAAAACCAGTTTGTCACTCGCTCATTTTGTCGCTGTCCAGTGAAATGCTAAGCTTAACAAAAGTTGCCAAAAAAAAAAAAAAAATATAATTTTTTTATATATATAAACACATATATAATAAATAAAAGAAGATATGTGTGAGCTGAAAATTAGATACCCTTGCTGATGGAGTCGCTTGAAATGTGAGGAGCTGCTAAATATGAATGAAAAGAGTTGGGCAAACTGAGGTACTTATAGCATTATTTATGGACTTCTACTTACATATACATATTTATCTATATCTGTCTGTATGTATTTCCTTCGAATTATCTATCTTGCGATCTATTAACTTGTCCATATCTACTTAACCTTCGAGTTATCTAACTATATATCTATACTGTATGTATCTATTTATCTATCTCCAAATAATAAAGTTGGATGATTTTTATATAAGATAATACAACAAACATAATTCAGTTTATGCATATTGCAGTAGTTAAATGTCTCTGAAATTAAAGACTTAAATCTGAAAAACTCTGATCTGATCAGAAAGATACAAACTTAGGCTCCTAGCTAAGAAGTTTGTTATAGAATAAATTCAACTCTACTCTCTGTCTCTCTCTCTCTCTCTCTCTCTCTCTATCTATCTCTCAGTCTCTCTCTATGAATCTCTGTATATATTAAAGATACATACATACATATATAGTGGAAAAGTTGACTATGGAGCATATATAGTACGAGTGATCTCTCTCTATATATACATATGTATATGCAACTGTTGTACATAGATTATCCGCAACAGCATAAATACCAAACCGATCAAGCTTAATGCAAACAGTTGATGAACTTTGGGCAATGTAGCTAAACCGTTCTATATATACTATACATATATAGAGGATACATTCCATTTATATATATATTTCTATTTGTATTTCTCTGCATACATACACACATAAACAGATCTACTTTTTATAATGCGTAATACAATTATCGGCGAATATAATTCCCTTGGCAAGATTTTTCAATTAATCAAAAGAGAAAAAAAGACTTAATTATAATCACAGCAGCAAGATCCAAGTTCCAAGTTCCAAGTTTTCAACGCTCAATGATCATCGTGCATTCTCATTATCATGATTGTCATCATTGACATGCTTATGATGATGATCATTATTGTTTGTCGGCGCTTTATTTACTTTTAACTGTTTTGCGTTGCGTTTGATTTTTATATGAGATTCAATTAAAAAAAACTTTTCAGCAGCAATTTTATAAAATTTAAACAGCTCAAGAGGCCGAGCAGCGAGAGGCGCAGAGGAGAGGAGGGGGGGGGGGGGGGGTCAGGGGACGGGATGGGGCGGTGCGGGTAAGGTAGGTAATGGCTCTCCATCTTTAACCAGTTTGTCTGTTAATCAATTTTCGCAACAAATTTTTGCACTTGCCGTTTTGGCACTAAAACTTGTTGACTTCACAACAGCAACAACAACAACAGCAACAACAGTAACGGGAGCAACAACAACAGTCGAGATAGGCAATGTATCTTTGTATCTGTGTATCTTTGCATCTATATGTCCGCACATCCGCATCGATGTGTTATCTGTGGCGTTTGTTTTCGGTTCGCTACAAATTACTTAATATGCATTTAGCAGCTGTGGTTTTTGACCTTAACACGAACCGATAGATGTGGAAGATACAAACATATAGAAGCCGAAAAGCGATCTGAAAGCAAGTGGCGCGTTTCCGTTGTGGCTTTTGAGGGGCAGCATCAGCAGATAGTTATGCGGCCAGATAGTTAGATAATTATTATTGCTTGTGGCTCTCAGAAGATGCTGATGATGATGGTGCTGTTGATGGAATGCCAGCTGCAGCAGCAGTTAGGTTCTCAGCTGGCGATGGATACAGCTACATTTGCTGATACAGATACAGATACAGAGACAAAACAAAAAGATACAGATACAGAGCAGACGCAGATTTGATGCTGCTTTCACTGGCTAACACTAAACTCCAGCGGGGCGCTGAGAGCGTTCAGCGGGCAGCGGGCAGCGGGCAGCAGACTTCACACAGCTGCAGTTACAGCGTCTATCTGTCATTTTGATTTGCCGCACAGTGGTGCAAGTGCATGCATAATTGCCGACAGTCAAATACATACATACATACTCGTATATATAAAAGAAAATGTAAATGATGAAGTGAAATTCGAAGAGCTATTAAGCAAATCACAATCAATAGATAATCTAATTGATATATCTATGTCTATGTCAGTTAAAGGAAAGAGGGGCTACGGCTAGTCTGGTATGACTAATATAATATATAATTGAGTTGATTTTCCTGTAATAATAATTGCATTAAGAAATAGTTTTCATACAACTTGTTTTAGTATATAGATAGACTGACTTATGGAATCAGAGCTGCGCTTCAGCGAGTCCTCTGTTTATCTTCTACTTTCATTACATTGCATTTTACTAAATTAAAGCATAGTTGATGCAATTACATTTTGATTGAGTTGCGTGCCACGGTGCGTGCTGCAAATTTCGCCTTGGGGAGTTACGGGCGGAGCAGCCGGAGCACCGGCATTATTTACCGTTTGTCTACGTACGCTCGCCACCTCAATGTATCCGTGTATCTGTGTATCTTTTGTTTCTATGTATCTATATCTCTCTGCATCTGAGGCGCACTTGGCGAGCGTTGCTGCTGCTGCTGCTGCTGTTGTTGTTGTTTGTAAATTTCAATCTTGGCTGAGGCAAACGGAAGCAGCAGCAGAAGTGGAAGAGGTATAAGAAGAAGAGGCATTAGTCAGATCACAACTTACCTAGCGACGACCTCAATTAGCGAGTCTTGGGCTCCATAGTTCTAACTGTGATGGCAACGGCAACGCCAACTGCGACTGCGGCGACGACTGCGACTGCGAGTGCGTCTGCGCCTGCGTCAACGTCGTTTGTTTAATTGCTCGTTATTTCCTGTTAGTTCACATGCAGCTATGCACACACACGCACATACTCACACACACACTGATGCGCGCGCCTTCAAAGTGCAGTTTTGATTTTTGATTTTTTTTGGGAAAGCACAAAAAAAAACAAAACAAAAAAGTAACAACAGAAAAAAAAAAACACCGAAACTAATATTTACTAAGCGACTGCCCACACACAGGCACACACAATTGCAGTCGCTGCCCAATTAAAACGCCAAATGGAGAAACATGTAATGTATGTAAATAAACAATGCAACAATATACGCACGTACACACGCACACACAATAGACAGTCAGACAGTCAGCACACTGGCACATACACACTCACAGTGGCGAGAGGCTGCGGCGAAATTCTATAGGGCCACGGCGACTACGACTGCGGCTACGACTGGCGCTGATCGACCGTTCGCCACGAAACTCGTTTTCAAACTGAGCGCTCAGCTGAGCGACAGCAGCTTTGAGCTCGCGAAAGCTCGGTGGCAACAGCTGCGACGACAACAACAACAATGACGACGGCGACGGCGCCACGCTCTCTAAACGAACCTCAGCTACTGCAGCAGCAGCAGCAACAGGCGCAACTACACCCAAAAGAGAGCGAGCCCACTCTCCCACATTTTTTGTTCGGCACGCTCCAAAACTGCATTTCACTGCACGCACCAAACGGGACGCAGAGGCAAAAGCTGAGGTCTAGGCTGAAGCTTTGACTGCGGCCTGGGCCTGACAATTAATTTTCATTTTTTTCTCTTTTTTTTTTTTCTTTTTTCTTTGCCATTGTTATTGCTATTCGCAGTCAGCGATGCGATGTGCAATCAGAACTATACATAGATCGTTTTTGATGGCATATAGAGAGCCGGATACATTCATTGCTGCGCATTGAGTTGACAGTGCGGAGGGATGGGAGAAGGCGGATCGCGCAATCAATCAAGGGAAATAAACTGCATGCATTGCTAAAATCATTAATTTCCCACGACCTGACAACGGTCAGAGCTCGAAATAGCAACGATCGAGGCATATCTTTTTATCAATAGTAGCAGCAGCAAAAAACGTTGATTACTCGGTTCGAATATAGCCAGCTTTCATTTGTTTTGCAATTCCACTTTGTCCATGTTGTCCTCAAACGTTTCTCTGTTCTTAGAGCAACCCATTTACCAAATAAAACGAACAGCAGTTAATGTTTTCCACTCGATTTATCATGAAATCAATTATACTTGTTCAATTCTTCTTTGTGCAGGTTGTTCTTAAAGGTTTCACTAATTCTTTATTGTTAACATAACCCAAATACCAGTTGAAACAAGCCTTTGTTGAGTTAATTTTTCGAGTTTGATTTATTTTGAATTTCATGTGTCTTTTAATTTGTTTGTGTTTTTCGCTTTCTGCTTCTCTCAAATAATGGAATTTACTATTGAATTTCAAGAGGAAAATTCTTTTTCGCTAAGTTTATCAATTTACAATCTAATGATCAAATCACAAAAGCAACAAAACGTCCATAATAGTTGAATCAAATATTCATCCTAATTGTGTATTCAATTCGCATTTCAAATCTGTTCTTTCTTCTTTTTTCTTAGATTTATAAAGTAATTTTATGCATATATTAATAAATAATAGGTAAAAAAATGTTGTTGTGGGGACGGCTTCTCTAGCTGTTCTTTAAATGGGCCTCTCACATGCACAATTTGATGTTCAGTGTTGTATAATGTTTAAAAGTGATAAATGCCTAATAATTCGATCTTTACGCTATTCAAAGTATTTTCTTTCATATATCTCTATATATAGTATATTATATTATTTGTATAACTACATATGTCTGTCTGAATGTTTTTTTCATTATTATTTTTTAATTAGAATTTCTATTAAAGCTGATAAATGTACTTGATCATTTGTCTTTTGGTTTTTCATTCGCTCATTCCTTATTTTTTTTTTTTTTCGTCTATTATTATTAATTTCGTATAATTTGTTTGCGTTCAACAATTTCAATGTGAAATAAACTACAAAATGCACATACGTACATATGTAGATACATACCTATGCACACATTGCTCCTACCCATAAACTAACTGTGAATCTGACTAAAAAAAATGCATGTAAATATGCTGTAAATAGTTGAGACTAAATTTGGAAATAGTTTAAAATTTCGCTTTTACAGCGACTATACGAGTTCGATTTACTCTAACTTAATAGTCGTTCACGAATTACAATTTGGAATAATATAATATACCTCTCGGGTATACCATCTCTTATATGTACTCGTATATCGGAAGTTCTAGAGCTACGATTAGCTGGAACTTAACTGTACCTGGCTAGCTCTATGATTTCCATGATAGCTCAGTCAGAAATATTTAATTTTTCTTCCTGAAATTGCACTGTGAACGTGTATTGTGCAGTCGGTTATGCCCGACTGCAATGCGCTTACTTGCACCTTTTATAACTTTCTTTTCTTTTTTCTTTACGTTTTCTTTACTGGACAAATGACAACTGCAAAATGCCATAAGATGTATACATGTTAAGCTACAAATACAATAAATAGTTAAATAGTTTATATAATTTAAGGCAATTTCATTTAAATGAAATAAGAGATGAAAAAAAAGCAGAGTTCGAAATCTCCTCTTCCACTGGCTAATCCAGTGCAAAACTCAACTAATTTGACTTCTATCAATTGCAACTTCATTCTCTCAAAAATAGTCGAAGCATATTCAATATGCTTCTCCTTTCTATAAATCCTTACTTTTGGCTGGATTGTGTAAGTGTGAGTGTGTGTGTGTGTATGTGTGTCTGTGTGTGCCCTTTGACCCGCCCATAAAAGCTGTTGTCTTTGTATATTCATTAACAATTAGTAAAGCCTTGCCTCCAGGCGATGCATTCGTTGTCCCATTCGTCTTTGGCTGTTCGTATTTCTAGGTTAAGAGATATTGAGATTTGGCTTCGGTCTTGGCCTGATTGGCAGAGGCAGGAGTCGCATTGCACTTGGAGGCAATTGGACGCAACCGTCATTGATCGTTTCATTGGGGTTTACTAGCTACAAAGTTTGTAAGTATCAAAAACTTAGCATAAATATTACATAGTTTTTCTCCAACTAACATTGTCATTATCATCATCATCATTATCATCATCATCGTCGTCAGTTTTTGATGTAAGTTTGCTCAATTTATCTAAATATTCAGTTTCAGTTTCATCGATTTGCAGGCCATCCACAGTCCACAGAGTTGGAGATTGAACTGCCAGCAGTAACTGCCTGGGTTACTTAAGATTACCAGTAGAAAACCTGAGACTGCTCAGTTCTAGAGACAGCAAGGGAATATCCTACAATACATAGTGGCTTATGGTGCCAGTCAAGGCAAATAAACACCGTAAAAACGAAGAGCTCTACTAAAGTTAAAAGTTGATAGCGATTAGCTCAACTCTCCTTAAACTATAGCTGGCTGCAGCTACTGCTCGGCAGGATTGGACGCCACTGGACTGTGTGAACGGCCTCTGGCTGCACGATTTTCACGAGGAACTGGCTAGGCTCCCGCACAATATGGATAACTAAACTAAAGTCTTAACTAAATGCTCTACACGTACAACACAATGAAAGCACTTCGCTGGCAAATATCACACAGCAGAACGCAGATGCTCATGTATCTCTATCTAACCATGAACGACAGAGAAAAATATATATATGTGTATGGAGAGAAAGAGAGAGAGAGAGAGAGAAAGAGAGAGGAGTGAAAGAGAAGGAATGTTTATATATGTGTGTGTGTGGGTGTGGGTGTGCTAGTGTGAGCCGACTCTTTGCTTAGCCAGCGACTATCTGGGATACGGAGTTGGTGCGCCTTCGTTTGGTGATTTGCTTCCACAGGCGTCGGTTCAGCGAGGGCTTGTCCTGCAGTAAAGGAAGAAATATTTAGATTTGTAATTGGATATAATATTAAGAAAAATAAATATTAACAAATTAATATACAAACACAAATATTGAAGAGCGAAAGATAAATAAAGGCATATTAAGGAAGAAATCATAAGTAAAAGCTGCTTCCAAAGAACTCCTATTTGAAATATTCACGGGAAAGAGATTAAAAACTAGGGAATTAATACAATAGCAAGCTAAATGCTTAAAGTAGAAAATGGTAAAATAAAAAGGCAATGCTATGAATGATATTGAAATTATGAAGTGTTAGTAAAAAATATGCTATATGTAAAAGAAGAAAATACGCAAAGAAAAAACAAGCATATAAAAACGTAAGCGTCTAGATATCAATGTTAAACAAAAAGTACTGTCAATCAAGTATAAGAAACCGTCTAAAAAATTATTGGGCAAAAAATACAAACAGTCAAATAGAAAGAAAATATTGCAGATGCAAATTCAAAGAAAAACGGTTTGTAAAGAAATACCACGGAGTTAATATAATGGATAGAAAGCAATAGGTCGGAGTATTGCAGTGGGGTGCAACCGACTGCGTGATACTTTATTCGCAATTTGTATTTTAGAGTATTGAAGATGATTCGTTGGCGAATCCGCCATATCATTCTGATCTTGGATCTCGGCGAGTATAACTTCCATCTTGCAACTCGCTAGCACTGTAACTAATAGGATTTCTGATATACCGGAATACGCATTTTCCGCCGTAGTTGGCGTATGGGGTGCCGTGACAGGCCTATATTATATTTTAAGTCTCTCGCTGCTATTGAAGTAGAAATGTTCATACAAACGGATAACAAGACGGACATTGCACAAACACGGTAAATACATACATATATACTCCATTTTACCTTTGGAAAGGGAGAATAAGAATTAAAAGGAATGTAAAGCCAAGCCAAGAGATATAAGCAAGAAAAGCCAAGGAAGGCAATGAATAAACAAATACTACGAGAGTATAGCAGGAGAAAGAACGGAGAGATCAAAGGTGTAAACGAAGTAAGACCAAATGGAGTCGGGTCACGACTTACGTTATCTTTACGTGGCGACATTTGTGCCATGTCCGCATTGTCCGGCGCCTGCCTCAGCAGCTGCTGACTGCCGTGCAGCTGCAGCTGCGACTGGGAGTCGCCACCGAGTGTGCTGTCGGAGTTGTGGGGATTGTTGCTGCTGCTGCCGCTGGCTATTATCTCCGAGTTGCGGCGCTTGATAAAGTTGATTCTGCATAGAGGAAGATCGGGTTATGGGGCACACTAAATATATGTGCGTGTGCCACATGTGGCATCGGAAACGTACAAACGGTTTGATTTGCCCACTTCGGTTTCGAGGCACGCTTCAGTCATTGTTCTTGTTGCTATTGTTGTTGTTGTTGTTGTTTGTGTTTGTGTTGTTGCTGCCACTGCGTCCATCGAAGTAGTACTCATCGTCCTCGTCAGAGAGACTACTGCTGCTGCTCGGCTCGTTGTCGAGGAACAGTCGCGTCTCGTTGCCATCGTCGTCGTCGTCGTCGTCGTTCGCATTTTCGTTGCGGTTGTCCCGGATGTCGCCTTGACTCGATAGCCACTCTTCGATTGAGACATGCAGTATATCTTCTCGCGTCTCGCTAAGATTTCCAGATCGCCTAATTTGTTCGCGCCGCTGCTGCTGTTGCAGCTTGTGCTGCTGTCGACGCCGACGCCGCTCGCGCCTTCTGCTCGACCCACAGATGCAGAACTGCTCCATGTATTTGGACTTGGATGCTGGCGTTGTGGACCGGCGACGCCGGCACGAGCTGAACCAGCGGCGCGCGGACTTCCGTGGCTGCTGCTGCTGTGACTCCTCTGGCCGGACGTGGTCGCCACGGCGGGACGTGGTCGCCGGTTCACCGTCGGCGTGTCCATCTTGGAGTTGCGTTGTTGAGAGTACGATATGACAGCCTCTTTTGGCTGCACCCGATTCGTGGCTGAACGACTCAATAAATCGCGACCCGTCAGACGATGAAATGTGGAGAGGTCGTGCCTAAAACGGAAAGTGAAAGAGAGGGCGAGAGAACGAGAGACAGATATAAGTAGCTAGTCAAAAAGGCTACATAATAAGATGATTGATAGACTGACCGACCGATGGCCTGGATCTAGAGATCTGGAGAAATCTGGATAGGTCATGCTTCAAAAAGAGTCAAGAAATCAGCTTTAGCTCCATATCTAGCCAGTCTTACATAATAAGATGATTGATAGACTGACCGATTGATTGCCTGGATGTGGAGAGGTCTTGCTTCAGAAAGAGTCAAGGAATCAACTCCTTACCTAGCTAACTGATAAATTGAATAGCTAACTGATTGACGAAGAAAGAGCTAATATCTTTCATATCTTAGACGAGTCTAACTGTAAGCATGGCTTGAGCTGTTTATGTGGCCTCGAACTTACCCCAGAATAGTTGTTAGATCTGGACCAGGCTCGTAGCAGATCAAGTCCTCGTCCCCGAGTATGTCGTGGTTGAGAGCCAACCGCATTTCCAGCCTTGGACTTAAGCCGCAGCCAACGTGCGGCGGTGGGGCAGCGGCCACTGAACGAGTATCGGCTGCGTCCGGTACGGCTGGCGCCAGAGCCGGCACCGGGGCCGGCGCCGGCTCCTTGGCCGCTGGCACCGCTGCAGCTGGGCTGCTCGCCGTGCTGGTCCGCATCGGCTTTGCTGTCCTCGAGGCTGTTGCTGATGAAGTGGCTGAGTCTGCCGGCACTGCGGTACCCAGCAGGCAAGTCTCGATTATCGTTGACGATGGGCGTTTTGGGCCTGCCGACGGTCCCGTCGATGCCCCCGATGCCGCTCCCACTGACGGTGCAGAGGTTCTGGTACTCGCAGGCGTTGTCCTTGACCCGATACCGATTGTGGGCGAAGCGCTGGCGGCGCCGGCGGCAGCCGCCGAACAGCCACTGTCAGCAGTAGCGCCAGATTTTCTTTGAGGTGGCTGCTAAACACCGAAAAGAAGATCGATTATTCAAAAACAAATTCCTTGCACTACCAACTAATAATCGTTGCTGTTGAAGAACCAAAAGATTAGTTGTCAATCAAAATAGAATTTGCTGAGTTGAATCCCATATCTCCTATCTATTATTTAAGTCAAGAACTGTTAAAGCAAGTAATAAGAGAACATTACTTCATGAGGAAACGCTTATACGTAAGTATATTAGTTCATTATATGAAGTTCATCTCAGCAGTAAGACGTTTGATTTTCGTACAAATACCTATACAAATTCCTACAATCGATCATACCTAGGAAAGCTAGCTTATGCATATGTTCACAAATCTAACAACTCTCTGCCTCTTTTGAATTTCTTAGGTATAACAGCTCTATAACTAGCTAGTTCTACACATTAAGAAAAAACAATTGAATAAACTGATAAGTACTTTCGATAAGAACATGATCCATAGATTAACAATATTCAGTTGGATGGAAGTCAAAAGCTAAGATTAGTTGGAATTCAATAGGTCTTCTAAATTGTATTCATGGTAATGATGAGAGAACAAACACACACATAARCATAGCTATAGAAGAAAGAAAGAGAGAACGAATACACACATAGAACTATGGCGAAGAGGATGATGTGGGTAGATGGGTTCTACAAAGTTTGGTTAAAGAGGGATCAGCTTGGAGTGTGATTTAGTTGGCTTACCGTTTTGGCCGGTGCAGCGCTTAGATTTGTCTGCGTGAGCAGCAGACGACGAGGCGGCGGCGGTGGTGGTATAAATCTCGGTGGCTTGACGTTGGCTCTGGTGGCGCAGCTGATAGTGCCGCTCCCGCTGCTGGTTGTTGTAGTAGTCGATGAGGGAGCTCGACTCGCCGTCGTCGCTGCTGCCGGCCCCGAGATCCGCATCCCCATACTCGTCGTCGTCGTCGTCGTCGTCGTCATCGTCATCATCGTTGCTGTCGCCGACGTCGACGACGGCGTCCTTGCGACTGTTGTCGTTATCGTTGAGCTCGTCGTCGTGGATGATGCCGCCATAGTCGCAGACGCGCGCTGTTCGAGTAGATACTCGCAGGATGAGGCCACTGGCGGTAGCGGTGGTGCTGGAACCTCCAAGGGGGTCGGCGTCGTAATGGCCGTGGTGGGTAACAGCATGATGGTGGTGGTGGTGCGGCTGGAGCTGCTGCTGCTGGTTGTCAGCGGCCGTGGGCCCAGCGCTGTGGTGGCCAGATTCGGCTGCAGGCGCTCCTCGCTCGAGTGTGGATCCGGCTCCTCCGGCTCCTCGTCGCTTGAACTTCCAGCCGAATCCTCTAGGTAGTGGCCATTTGTCGTTGCTTCCCCCTACCAATTGTTGGGAATAGAATTCAACTAATCAATTCTGGTTTTGATAAAGCATCCAGCTTGCACTTGATGGGGTTTATGAGTGATTCGTTTTGTTGGTTCTGGTTCATAATTTTAGCAGATTTTGATTGTTTTTGGTTTTAGTATTTTCGAATTTCGATTTGGATTCGTTTGATATCGATTCGGATTCGGATTCGGATTCGGATTTGGAAATATATTGTATATTGGCTTTTGCATGATTTTGACATATTTGGTGCATTCATTTCGATTGTCAATCGTTGTCAATCGCTCGCGGGTCTCTGTCCTGGCGTGTGATGTTTATGAGCTCGCAGTATTGCAGGTTTGGCTAAAGCTTCACTAATTTCACTACGACTTTCTATATATTGTATATATTAAAATATATTGATATACATATATGTATAGACACAAACCAACAAACACACACATACACATATTAAATACAGTTAGTTAACAACAACGAGAATGGAATACATTGAAAGCGAGTGGCAAATGTTTTACAGTTTTACAATTTTACAGTTTACAGAGTGCGAAAAGTATTTAATGTTTGATGTATGTATGTATGATTGATTGATTGATTGATTCGATTCAAGATGACAAGCATGATGATGATGAAGATGATGTTGGTGATGTCAAGCGGTTGGCGCACATTTGTGTTGTTAATGTAGCATATGAAAATAAAAGACAAGAAACACAAGTCAATCAAAAATTCGATCAATCAAGTAGAGAATTGATTGATTGCAATGCATGCGGTGCACTGTATAAGTCGAGTATGCATTTGCAGCATAAGAGGTCCCAAAGAAAATGGCGTTAACAACATTTATGTTGACATTCAACATTGAAAATAAAAAATTGAAAAATAGAAAATGGAACATGGTAAAGTTTAGTTTGAGACAAGTAATTGTGCTGTAGTCGGAAGTGCACGACTACGAGATACCCTGAACGTTGCACAGAATTGATATTTGAACCATCGTAGCCTGCGAGACACCCACCTATAGAGACACCCACACATATACACACATATATAAGTTAGTTATTGAATAACCTCAGCTCTAGATGCATATAAGATAAGATAAGATAAGATAAGATAAGATAATGAAAGCGCAAGTATCGAGAACTTTGAATTTACTCAATGAAAAGATATTCCGAAATATGAAAAAAAAGATCTAAATTTATTTACGTGACGGATAGATATTTTGACTCAGATGGACTTGACAAATAGATAAATCAAGTATATTAAAACTTTACAAAGTCTGTCTTGTTTCCTGCTGTTTTTATGCTCAGGTTCAGGATATACAAAATATTTGCTTGAATCGAGCTGAAAAGATGCTGAAAGTTCGGTTTGCATGATCTTCCCTTGCCATGCCAATAAAATAATAATTCGAAATGAAGTTGAGTAAAAGTGTTGAAATGTGATTCGATCCTTTGTCAATTATTGAGCTTCGATAGTATTTAAGTTTATTTTATTTATATTATTTGTCGATTGATTTGTTCTAAATACGACCCACCTTTTTGATATCGTCGCTGTCCTGTTGGGTTTTCTCTTCGTCGCTTTCGGTCTCCTCCTCGAACAGGGGCTCAAGACGGCGTCTAAGCATTACAAGTTACGATATACGATTCGATATACGATATGAGATGTAACGATTTTTTTTTTTTTTTTTTTTTTTTTTAAATTTTTGAGCGTGTGATGAAATGATATAAATTTTGGAATTGAGCAAAATGTTTATACATGTATATATATATACTATACGATATATATAGTTTATATATATGGTATATAGCACTAAAATGTTTGCAAAAAATACTCGTATATAAGTTAGCTATGATTACACTCGACTAGGCACTACGGAAGGATGAGACTAGTTCTTATGGTTGGGTCGGCTGGTCTGTACCAAGAAAAGAAAAACAAAAACTCAAACTAAACTAACCCAAGATGATCAAAGAATGTCTATATAATATATATATATATCGAACTCAGATATTCTAAAATGGATAACGAATTGAACTGAATTGAAATGGGTTTCTTTTTGTTTTGTTTGATTGGGATTACTTGTGTGTATAGAGTTACGAAAGAACGCAAGAAACACCTGTAAAAACTACGAAAAAAAGACAAACATTTAAGAGATGAAGAATATATAGATATGTACGATTACTCGAATACTAAATAAATGAGAGCTCTAAAGATCAGCTTAGCTGCTTAAGTGTACGAAATAGTGTCTAGGGCATCTAACAATTTGAGCTAGTCATTGCTATCTCTTTCGCGCTCTCGCTCGCTCGCTCTGTGTGCTGCTATCTCACTCTAGTGTGGATATCGATGTTCCTTACCGTGGCAGCAGTCCGCGAATGGTGCTCGCTGTCATGGGCGGCGCCATCAACAGCTCATCCATCATCAGCTCCGTATCGTCGTCGTCGTTCAGCGAGGTGCTCGACTTGGTGGGTGACTGCGGGTGACAAGGGTGTGTTAGAGGCGCTTGGAGGGAGGGTGGAGGGGTAGGTGTATGCATCATCACTTACCGAGTGCGTGTTCTCCGAGTTGATCAGCTGCATATCGTCGTTGTCGCCCCCACTGGTGGGCGTGCCCCAGACCTCCTCACCACTGGTGGCGCCCGAGGTGCACTCGTCCATCTGCTCGTCCGTCTCGGAGGCCGTCTGATTGGCTCCCTGCTGGGCCTGCTGCTGCTGCTCGTTGGCGTTCCAGCGACCCAGGTACTTGTCAATGAAGGCGCGCGACTCCTCGAAGAAGGACATCTTGTCGGTGACGAAGGCCCCGGCGCGATTCGTCCACGCGCCACTGGCCAGCACATCGCCATTGGTCAGAGTTGCGCTGGAGCAGTTGGCCGTCAGCTCATGCAGGTTCTGGGCAAGCGCCTTGTCGGCCGTGGCATCATCCACGTCGTCGTCCTCGTCGCCATCGTCGTCGTCGTCGCCATCGTTGTCGGCCTCGTGCTCGAGCTCCTCGTTGAGGCCGTTCTGCGCATAGGGCTCCAGGTCGTCGTCCAGCTCGTCGGAGGGCAGCTTCTCGAGGCTGGACATTGTGCCGAAGCGCCGCAGCGCGCTGCTCATGGGCCGATACGGCGGCTCCTCCTCCAGCGGCGACTCGTCGCACGAGTCCTCCGGTATATTCTCAATGATCGCCTGGCGGGGCTGCTTGATTGCCGTGGTCGTCACCTGATCCATGCCCGCCGTACCGCCGCTGTTGTCCCACACGTGCGTGCTAGTCTTGGTGAGCACCGCGTCCGGCGTGGGCGGCACCACTGCTATGGTGGGTGGGGTCGTCTCCTCTGCCTGGCCGCACAGCTTGGCAGTCGGCGCGAACTGCGCCAGCCCGATCAGCATCAGCGACAGCTGCTCATCCTCCTGCTGCTGCTGCTTCTGCTGCTGCTGTGTATGTTGTTGTTGTTGCAGCTGCACTGAGCTCGTCTTCTGCTTGGGTGACTCTAGCAGCTTGCACGTCTGGTGCTCCATCTTGTCCGGCGCCAGCTGGCTAAAGTCCTCCGGAGTGCAGCGACAATGGCAAGTGCTGGCGCCGGCGCCGGCGCTGGTGCTGGAGCTGCGTTCAGTGTTGCGCATAATGCGAGCCGTTTCCGTAATGGTCACAACGGCCTTCACCTGCTGACGCACTGGCTCCTGGCACAGCTGCGCCACGACTCGAGCGCGCCTGGGCGGCGGCTGTGGCGACCCCGTTGCTGAGGCGGAGGCGGAGGCATTGGCAGAGACGGACGCGGAGGCGGAGGCGGAGACAGAGGCGTTCACTGAGGCAGAGCAGTGACCGTTCGGCAGTGGCTGCGCCGTCTCTAGAGCTCGTAGCTTGGCGCTGCTGCTGCTGCTGTTGGGCATGGCGTTGACGCTGTCGTCTGTCGCCTCTGATTGGGACAGCGACAGTTCGTCGGTGATTAGTTGGGCCACATCGCTCTCCGTGTCGCCGGTCTCGCGCCGACTGCTGCTAGCGACTACCTTCGAGGAGAGCTCCCCGGTGATGGTGCTGCTGGAGATGCTGGTCACGCTGCCGGTGCCCGTTCCACTGCCAGCCACAGCTGCCTGTCCGGCTACCCCAGCTGCTCCAGCGGTTGCAGCTGCAGCTGTGCCGTTCAGCTTGCAGCAGCGGTTGGGCGAGGATTGACTGTGCTGCACCTTCAGCGAGTTGCACAGCAGCGACGAGCCACCTGCCCCACCCGCCTCGGCTGCAGCCGAGCCACGCCCCCCGCTGCCGCTGGCACCGCTCTGCTGGCAGTTCTTGTGGCAGTGACGGCACACCGCCAGCTTGTCGAGCACAATGGGACTGGAGCGCACGGTGATCTAAGCGGATGAAGCCACAAACCAAATACCAAATAATCTAGCAATACGTTCTACATGGATATTAGCTACAAGAGATGGGCGAAGGGCACGCAAGAATCGATATGTTTCCTAAATACCTCAATAAGATACAAGCGCTTTGAAAATGGAAATTCAAGGTGTGAATTTCATCTTATAGATATGTACGTATATATGATATAGATATATATGTATGTAATTGCAATACCGATATATTATTATCTCTGTCTGTCKGTATCTATCAGACTATCTCTATATATACGTGTGCATAATCTAAGGACTTGATATGTGCCCAAGCTATCACAAGCTATCATTAAAGTCCTTTCATGTTCATAAGATTGATCTGACCTTAGATACCTAGCATTTTTTGCTCTATATACGAGTTTTCAGAACTGATTTTCAGGCATTCTTTTATGGGGTCTATTAAGAGGCTTATTGCATTCTTAATGTGTATTGATATCTTCTAGTTTAACTGCTCCATTCTTATGCCTCCTTTATAATAATTTCCTTACTATACCCTCTCTACAATATATACTATATAGAAGTCCTTTAAATGTTTTCTTTAGCTCTAGGTATTTAATTCAGATGTATAGATCGTACTGAAATGTATATATACTATATATACCGAATTTGAATACCACAGCGTCTAAAGAACTTAAGATATAGACAATATATATATTTCATATGATATTATATACATATATAGAAAAAACTCGAATAGAAGTTATGTTATTAAATGATTGTACCTATTATACATTATGAATACCGTTTAATGGAAGTTCTATCTGAACTAAAAGCTAACTGAAACTAGCCTGAAACTAAAGAGAGAAATCCAAGACCTATGGAATGTACTAATACGCCCATAAGCATTAGAATGGAATGGATATATGCAGAACTGAATTAACAAGTAACTAGAATAGACAGTTGTCTAGGAGCCCGGATTTTAGTGCACCCCGAATTATGAAAGAGTCTTTACCACCTTTACAAATATGAAACTCCAAAGTGAAAGTAAAAAAGGGGGACCAAATTAAAGGCTGTCAAGGGCCTCGTTGAGGGTTAATCCGGCCCTATACATATGTATGTACAATATAACAAATAGAAAGCAGTATGTATGACCGATAGATCTAAAATTCCTTGTGTTTGATTCGCGATCTTCTCAAGCATTCGGAATCTTGTGCCCATCTCTTGAGGTGAAATATACTAGGGAAAAACATACCTCACTCACCTGGCTGTCAGATGTGGTGCTATGCGATTGGCTGATCTGGCTGGTCACCACCTCCGCCTCCGAGTAGATGTCCGAGGCGGCGCTCAGGCTCATGCTCAGCTCGTCGACGCCGCTCAGGCGCTTGCCCCCGAAGTTGGGCTTGGCGGAGAGGCCGCCGAGCTCCTTGGCCAGGTTGAGCTCCTTGGTGCGCTTCTCCAGCTGCTGGCGTGTCCAGTAGATGATGCGCTCGTCCTGCTCGCTGTCGCTGTTGAAGATCAGCTGCTCGTCCTCGGCGCTAATGTTCTCCTGGGAACGGGCAATGGCCGCCAGTCGCGCCTGCTGCTGCTGCTTGTCCAGCTGGCCCTTCATCCAGTTGGCCAGGTGCAGGGCACTCGACCTCGGGGTGCCCGTCTTATTCAGGATGCGGCACTTCTCGTCAATCAGCAGCTCGATCTGCTCGACATGGCCATGGCCAAGGCTGGGGCCGCGCTGCTGCAAGAGGCGCTTTGTTTAGCTTGAAGCTTAAAGCTTGAGTTGACCTAGCCATGCCCCGCCCCAAACCAACCGCAACCACCACCCAGACGCACAACCACAACCACACAGAGCTGCAGCTGCCCGACGTTGATTGCAAATTAAAAATTTGTGATGGGCTCAAATTAATATGAAAATTTTGGTTAAAATTGTTCGCTATTGACTTATGTTTTTGCTCATAAATTCTTCTTTTTTGTTGTTTAGTATTTTAAGCTAGTTATTTGTTGCTTGACTTTGGCATTTATGGTTTCATTAGGTACTTTGCGATATTTTTCATTTATTATTTAAAATTAATTTTTAGTATTTATGTTGGCTTTGCTATCGAGAAACAGAAACAATAAAAACGCGCGATCTGTGGTCAGAGGCCATCTTTGATTAAAAACGCTTGCACTTGCAGAGGTTCAGACTGCGATAACGATAACGATAAAGATAACAATAACAAATCGAAGCATAAATCATAAGTATGAAAGTAGAAGCGACAGAAGTATTTTGTAATGGAACTTAAACTAAACTAAAATTGAGGCCATCACAATTTTTAATTTATCAATTTTTTTTTTAGTTTTTCTACTTTTTTTTTTTTTGGTTTTCTGGTCAAAACAATTTTGAGCGCAGGATGAACCGGGACCGGGATAGTATAAAATTCTTTTTTTTCTCTATTTTTTTAATATATAGAATAGTTGTTGGGCAACGTACAGAGTGGTACAAAGTGAGTGCTCGGTGGGTTTGTTTTTTATTTGGTTGGAGAATCGTATTTTTTTTTTTTTTTT